CCCCATTCTACCCTGTCTTATCGTCATTAAGTATTTTCACTGCTTTTATGTCCTCCAATATTTCTCTCTCTACCATAGAGTGTGGAGAGTTGGTATATCTTAAGTGGATACATACAATATCTTTCTTTCATAGCCTGGCTTACTTCACTCAGCAATAGATACTCTATATCTGACCACCTTCTATCAAATGCCAGGGTCTTGTTATTTTTTATGGCTGAGTAGTATTCCATAGAGTATATATGTCACACTTTTCCAATCCATTCATCAGTTTGTGGACATTTATATTGGTTCCATGTCTTGGCAAACGTGAATAATGCTGCAATAAACGTTGATGTGCAAGCACTTTTCCAACCGAGTATTCTCCTATCCTTTGGGTAGATACCCAGAAGTGGGATTGCTCGATCAAATGGTAGTTCTATTTGTAGACCTTTGAGGAACCTTCATATTGTTCTCCACAGTGGCTCAACCAGTTTACATTCCCAGCAACAGTGTAGGAGAGTTCCCTTTTTACCACATCACCGCCAACACTTATCGTTTTTAATATTCTTAATCTTTGCCATTCTGACAGGGGTTAGGTGGTATCTCATTGTGGTTTTTATCTGCATCTCCCTTATGATGAGGGATGTTAAGCATTTCCTCATATGCTTTTTGGCTGTTCATATGTCTTTCTTAGAGAGATTTTTGTTCAGTTCATTTTCTCATCTTTTAATTGGGTTAATCATTTCTTTTCTCATAAGGCACTTGAGTCCCCTGTGTATTCTGGTTATCAGTCCCTTGTCTGAGGCATATTTAATAAAAATGTTTTCCCATTCTGAGGGTTGTTGATTCACACTTGTTCCTGTGTCCTTTGCTGTGCAGAAATTTCTTAGTCTGATATAGTCCCACTTGTCTATTTTAGGGATTATTACCTGTGCTTTGGGAGTCTTATTTAAAAAGTCTTTGCCTACTCCAATGTCTCCCCGAGTTTCCCTAGCATTTTCCACCAGTAGTTTTATTGTCTGAGGTCTTAGGTTCAGATCTTTGATCCATTTTGAGTTGATTTTTGTTAATGGTGAAAGGTGGAGGTTCGGTTTCATCTTTTTGCAGGTGGATACCCAGTTATTCCACCACTATTTACTAAAGAGGTTTTTCTTTTCCCAATGGATTGACTGATATCCTTTGTCAAAAATCAGTTGGCTGGGGGACCAGCAGTTAGTGTAATGGCTATGT